AGAACTTACAATACCTGGTGCTAAGCGGCATGCTAGAGAGGTGTGCAGAGTGCTTCTCTCAAAGGGCAACTTACTCCCCACATTCCCCACATTCCCCACATCATACACACACACACACACACACACACACACACACACACACACACACATTCACTCACACTGTAGCTCACACTGGTTTCTTTATCTTTTTACACCTTTTCTGAATTCCTACAGCAGGTCTGTGTGGTATGTAAACCCATAAAGAAGCACCTGAGTACACACTGCTTTGCGTTGTTCTCTAATTGCTTCCTACATACGACTTCTCTCCATCCCACATAATTATCGATATAAATTAAATTCTTCACATGGCCTAGCACATTCCTGAGCACAGAATGAACACCTGGGAAACCTCTCCCTGCCAGCCTTTTCTCCATACTTCAGCCAGAGTGATCTTTATAAAACACAGTCATCCTCTCCCTTCTTAAAAACCTCTGATGAATTTCTTGCTCTGAGGATCAAGATCAAACACTCACACAGCCTGAGGTGCCCAGCCTAGTCAACCTCACCTCCTGTCGAGCACCATCTTGCGGTGTCCTCCAGTCTCCCTGATCCCTTCACGGGGCCTTTGCAGCCACTGCCTGGTTGGTTCCCTTCCCTCTTCCTTCCCCATTTTACCTTCTGAACCCTACTCATCCTTTGTATTCATCCCTCCCAATGGAAAGCTCCCTACATCTACCAAATGATTAAGTCCCTCTGTCTTTTGACTCGATGAACTTGGTTCTTTCCTTCAGAGCATTGATCTCCACTGTAATTAAACCTTAACTGGTGGGATGGTGTGAGTGATGTCTGCCTCTGCACTCGACTGTAAGAACATGAGAACAGTGGCTGTGTCTGGGTTTGCTCACAATGGCTTCGTCAGCACCTGTCCCAGTACTGAAGCACATGAAGTGTTCAGTAAATTCTGCCGGATGAAACAATCAATGAATAAACGAACACTGTGTGTTTAAATGTGCCAAGCTGTGCACTCAGTCCTGGGAATACAATGATTATTCAGGCTGGACCTCTACCCTCATGGAGTTCAGAGTCGGGGTGCAAAGACATAAAACAGAGTCCAGAGGGTATTGAGTGACAGGATTGATTTTCAATGTCTGCTGTGGACACAGGGTTGGAGAAATAACGTTGTCAGTGCCTGTGACCCTTGACCCTGACACTTGACCTTCATTATTATTATGCCATTTTCATTATGTTGTATCTGCTGTATTGACCCAGATCATGAAGGGCCCTTTGCCATGCTTAAGAGTTTGCACTTTGGCTCTGGTTTTCAATAAAGGCACATGATTTTGGTTTTGACTGATACATAATAATTGAACATATTTATACAATATGGTATAGAATGGGCTATACTTTTACATGTCTGCAAAGCAGGACTATTTGAGCTCCATTCCTCCCTAGTGACTTCATGGTTCTGCACTAGCAGTCCGTTCTCAGTAGCAGGGCTTTAAATAACAGTTTAAGGACCTAATACAAGATGAAGGTTCAAAGCACTGAAGTTGGACGCCACCTAGTGGCCTGAGTTGGGAGACCAGAAAAGCTCCCACAGTGGGAGGGAACCCACCCCAAGCTTATCCCTTTTCAAAACCAGGGGCAGGGAGAGTTTCCTCGCTGCGATTCCTCTGCAGTTCCCTAGAGAACTAGGAAAGAGGCAGAAATAAGAAGGCCCTAGGAGGAAAGGACGGGCTGGTTCTTGGGGAACCCCAGATAACTCATCCACAGCAGGCGGTTGTGAGGTGCCCTGACCTGGCTTGGGCTTCTAACGAAAGAAAAAAAAAAGGAAATTCACAAGTGTGCTCCATATTACGTAAGCTAAATTTCTAAAGCGGAGTGGGATTGCCCATTGTCAGAGGAGATGTGTGCAGGGGGGACATCCCCTCACGTCTCCTCAGCAGTGCCTTCAAAGATGCCCTACAGATTCTGGTCCTCATCATCCACAGCAATTGGTTTGAGCCTCAGTGCCACTGATAGAATCTCTGAACCTTGCCAAACTTGATTGTCTTTATGGTTTTGATTCTTAGTTGTCACTTTGAAGCAATCTCAAAACCTACTTCATACTATGATGATATTGGCTGGTCTTGAGCAAACTTACCCCTTCTGTGAGTATCTGTTCTTTAAATATAGTATAACACCTAAGTTAAACCTTAAGCGATTAAAAGAAGTTAACCAGAGAGAAAGGGAAAGAGTAAGTCTATAAAAAGGAACAGCATATGCAAAGGTGCAGAGGCCAGGAGTATCATGGGATATGCAAGGAAGCACCTCATAGTTGTTTTAAGAGCCTCTTGGGTCTTAGGCACACTAATGTTTGGAGTCTCAAGCCCAAAATATATTACATATATTCAAATGCAGTCCACATTTAATATAATTTATGTCTAACTATGAATGGGGTTGAGCTGCAATGATGTATGGCCTTAATGTTGCTTTTTATAGACATTTACTAATTTTAATTTTCGGGGGGGTTTGGTATGTATCTTGAAGCAAATACTTTTTTTAAACCCGGGTTGTGGCACCTGATGGGTAAAGTAACATGGCATCAAGCAGTTCAGAGTTAGTAAGGATAAAATTCAAGGTAGAGAACTAAGAAATGAGGGCAGAGAGGACCCTGGGAAATAGGGAGTCTCATAAGCCTTATAAGTGACTTGGACTTTATCACAAGGCATTAAAGAATTTTGATTGGGAGAGTGTGTTCATCGGACATGCCTGTAATGTAGTTCACTCTGGGAATTGTGTGGAAGATGAATTGGAGAAGGTCGTGACTAGAGATGGGGAGATTCGTTAGAAGGTTAATGCTGAACTGAGGCTCCAGACCCGGGCAAAAGTGAGCCGTGGAAGGCTAAGAAGGATAGCAAGACAAGGCAGCATCCTTTCATGGAAGAGAGAGCTCTAAGATGATTAAGAGATCTAAGTCTCAGTCCCAAATCTGCCACCAATACCTCCCCTCTTTCTACCTGCTTCTCCATAGCAAAATGAAGGCATCCTCCCTATTGATTACTATGTCTTCATATTACAATTACTATTGCATGAAAACTCAAGAGTGTGTTTTGGGAGGACTATCTATGGATCAGCCCTTGGCAAAATTTGGAAAGAGACAGTGTTGGGTTTTATGAAAACCCCCACAAATTATCAAGCATCAGGATGTGCTGTCACCCCCATTACCAAGTTGAGGGGAGGAAGGATTACCTGCTACTTGGACCTACATCAAGTGCTCTGTTAGTATTCGACAAAGAATATTAAGAATATTTTGTGCTGGTATAACTGTCAGCATTTCTCCTCATAATAATAATGTCTCATGTTTACAGAGTAATAGGATATGCTTGGCACAATTCTAAGCATTTTGTGTGTATTATCTCATTCAATTTTTACTACAGCCCTATGAGCAGGTATTATTTTTAATTCTATTTTTTTAATTGACTCAATAGTTGCATATATCTATGGGGTACATAGTGACGTTTTGATATATATCATCTCATGACCCGATCAGGGTAATTAGCTTATCTGTCATCTCAAGCAATTACCATTTCTTTGTGTTGAGAATATTCAACATCCTTCCTACCTTAAATTATACATTATTGTACATGATGGTCATCCCACATATTCTTATTCACATTTTATAGTAGAGAAAATTAGGATCCAGAGAGTTTAGATAAATCCAAGGAGTTAGTAAGAAGCACAAATGAGTTTCAAACTCAGGAATTCTGCCAACAATTGTACTATACTGTCACCCACATCAGGTAATTCTTCTAGCTAATTTTTCCCTCATGTGCTAAGATTGAACACCTAAAGAAGTGGGAGGAGTACTATGGCCTTCTGTGGGGTGTAGCCAACACTAAGCATAGGATTTAGAGCCAAGCAGGCTGAGTAAAAGGAGGGAACCTCCAAAATGTAGAAGCCATTTACATTTAAAAGTAGACTTTTTTTCTTGTCCCCCTTCACCGTCCTTGGATCTAGTAACTGTTGCTCATACTGATGGGAACAGAACCATCTTCATTGAGTCCCCAGACAAGCAGGAGTCACACACAAAGGATTGCACATCCCTGGAAATGCCTCTGCCAGACCTAGATAAGAAATGGGCTATTGAAACTTTCTAACACCCAGAAATGTATCTGCTCCTTTGGTCTCTAAATGACAACTGTTTTCTTTCATGTCTTTGGATCAATTTTATATACAATGTTTAATCAAGCCTTGTGAACTAGAACTCCCAGACTAAGCAAAAACTCTAACCAACTAAAAAGTGTGCAGCCCAAATTGTTCAAGGCATTTGTGCTTCTGGCCTTGATGTATCATTATCAGTTTACTGTGTCCAGCCTCCTGCCCACCACCTGGAGTTATGAGATACCAATGCCTGGTGATGTCAAGACACAAGACTTATGTGACTTACATTATCTACATCAAAAAATGAAACTCTGGACATTCTTCTCAGCCCAAACTCCCTTCAAGAGCCTTAAATATACTCAGCTCCCCAGCCTTCAGGGCCACTCTTGCCTCTGAGTGTCGGCCCCCTTTCCATCTGTGAATAATAAACTTTATTTTATTTTACTTCATCCTTGGTTGCAATCTTGCATTATTCTCGTGGCATCAACTCACCTTGCCTCAATTTACCCTTTCACTGGGATTAGAAGAACTCAGAGAAGTTATAAGGTTGAGCTCAGAGCCAAAAGACTTTCTTGAGATTGTTTTGCATCCCAAGTTGCCAACATCAAGTCCCATAGAGCAAATGCATTTGGGGACCCCTCTCTGGTTACAAATCCAAGCCTTCCGCTGTTCCTGCTCTGCTGTTTAATCAACCAAATATAGGGGTAGAAGATAAGTAGAACTCTATGTCTTCCCAAGTTTGTTTGTGTGGTTTTTTAAAATAGTGACTTTATGAACTGAAAACAAAAAACAAAAAACCACACCCCTTTTATTGTTTTTTCTACCTGGTTGTTTTTTTTAAATCCAACCTCCTCTAACCTTTCCTTGTTTCCTTTTAGGTTCCGCCTTTCTTTGCCAGAGTCCAATCGCAGCAATATTGAGGTAGGAATCTGGGCTTTCAGAGTTTCCTGGCTATGGAGGTATGGTGATTCTTTTGCTGTATGCAGTAGTGGGTTGACTGTTTTTTTGTTGTTTGTTTGTTTAAAATGTGGGGCACAATTCAGAGTTGGGTGCATACATGGTGGTTGATTGTCTTCAGTACCTCTAAGTCCTTGATTTCTCCATGACTGTGGGTTTTAACTTTGAAATTCTCTATGTAGCTACTCATGACTGAGCCCACTAACCATTAACAAAACAACTTCCAATCTATATTTATTTATGCAGAAAGTCTTTTAAAAGAACTCAAGACTGTTAAGACATTGTGTAATGCTAGAAAAACTGGCATTTTAGGGAGTTTTCATTTTCTCAATAAAATAATCCTCTGGAGTTAAATGTATAGTCCAGAATTCCAAAGGAGTAAGCTTATATGTAAACTAAGCCAGATTGTGTTTGCTCCTCGAATGTTTTCTACCTATCTCCTAAAATTAGATCAAGGCTGACTGTGTGGATGCCTTTGTGGGTGGGTGAGGAGCCCAGCCTAGCAACTTCCCAACTGGAAAAGGACACCCCAACATGCAACTTGGAAACACCCTTCCTTCAGGTTTCAGGAAGATCAGCTAACTCACTACTTGATTCATTCATATAACATATCATGGGGAATTAAGTGCTTGGGTTTTAGTGTCAGATTGCCCATGTAAAACAGTGCCTAGTTCATGGGTAGCCCTACATAAACATTAATTATTAGTATTAATAGTATTCATTCATTTATAGATACTCATTGAACTTGGCACTATTCCAGACAAAACAAAGTTCCTGCCCTCACATGGCATGCACATTCTAGAGCAGTGGTTCTCAACTACAGTCGATTTTGCCACCCAGGGACATTTGGCAATATCTGAAGACATTTCTGATTGTCCTGGGACGGGAAGATGAATGCTATGGACACTTAGTGGGTAGAGACCACAGATGCTGTTAAACATCCCATGGTGTAGGTGGGCTCGGGGCTCAGCCTGTAATCCCACACCTTTTGGAGGCTGAGGTAAGTGTATTGCCTGAGCCCACGGGTTCGAGACCCTCCTGGGCAATTTGGCAAGACCTCATCTCTACAATAGAAATCAAAAATTAGCCGGGAGTGGTAGCGCACGCCCGTAGTTCCAGCTACTTGGAAGGCTAAGGTGGAAGGATCGCCGGAACCCAGCAGGTTGAGGCTGCGGTGGCCGGGAGCAGCCGCTGCACTCCAGTCTGGGTGACAGAGTGAGACTCCAACTCAAAAAAAAAAAAACCATCCCATGGTGCACAAGATAGCCCCCACAACAAGAAGTATCCAACCCAAAATATCAGTAGTGCCACTATTGGGAAACCCTGTTCCAGGGCATGTATGAGTGTGTGCATATGTATATGTGGCGAGAGTGGCAGACAGCAAACAGACAAATATGTATCATATGTACTGAAAAATGCCATAGAGAAAAATAAATCCCATTCAGGCAGTACAAATGACTATGGAGCTGGGAATTACAACCTTGGAGGTATTGAAAGAATGAGCTGAAATCATATGAGATGCACTTAGCACATTGACTACAAGGTAGGTACTAACTAAATGATGGCCATGTTTCTAGATTCATAATAATTATTTTAGTTCTTTCCACCTCTTTGTCAAGGGAAAGTGTAGCATAATCATTTCATACATCAACTCTGAGGCCGACCTGCAGGAGGAAACTCCCATTGACTGACTGACTGTGTGGCCTTGAACAAGTCACATCTCTCACAGTGAAGGGCCTGGGACATAGTAATGAATTACTACTAAGTATTACTGTGTTCAATAGCAGCAGCTATGAGATAGGAACAGATCTGGAGAAAGTAGCCAAGAAGTCAGAGAAGCCAAATAAGATATATATTTGTTTAATTTTAGAGGCGCATTCTGGTTTTCAAGTTGGGAATATTAAGAGCTGGGAGCAGTCATGTCAATAAGCTGAAAGTTAAGTCATACCTTTCATGCCAGACATTGAGATCTAAAATGCCAGTTTTATCCCACATATTGCTAGAAACCCCGTGGCATAGCCATTTGGTAGATGACAGACTATAGTCAATGACATTGCATAGCTGACTACCTTAGAAATAGTATTTCCTGAGTCCACAGAAGAAGCAAAATGAGTCCAAGTCTTCCAGGAAGACCCAGGTAATTCGCTTAGTATTGACAACAGAATGTGCTAACCATGGCATTTGGGGTGGGGGGAGGAAACAATTGTATATACCGCGCTTTTCACATCATATTAACTTGCTTAATCCTGACAACAGCCCTATGAGATTAGTACTAGTATCTTCATTTTATAGTTGGGGAGACTGAGGCACATAGAGGTTAAGAAACTTTCCCAACATCACACAGTTAGTAAGTAGCAAAACAAAAGATTATAAGCCTAGGAAGTCTGACTTCACAGCCACCCTTGCAAAGAGCTTCTTATTATCGGTGAGCCTATAGAAAGCCCCAAAACTATTCATTGAATGAACTGATGTTGAATGAACATTGAATGAACCTGAATCTTGCCAGGACCCAACAGTTTGCTTAGGCTATATAACTATCATCATTTATTAAAGATAAGTTATGTGTTCTGGCAATGCCGTTAGTTTCAGTGCATGACATAATATAAGTGAACACCTGTGGCCGAGGTTCCCAATAAAGAAAGGAAGACTGCTAACTGAGAAATCTATTCGTTGATCTTGGTTATCTTGGTAGATATCAGAGCTGCCACATTTGCTACCACCATGTGATTCCTCTGCATTTGCCGTCACCAAGACACAACACAAAGGGAAACAGAAGTGTCCATTCTCAAGGGTGAAAATAACTAGGCAACGCTGAAACATGTATTCCTACAAAGCTAGTCTATCCCTGTGGGGAGATTCTAATTATTGCTTTCCATCCTGATGAGTCCTGAGAAAGCACATGTCCAAACAGTCCTGATTTAGCAACTGATTCCACTTCCTCTTTATTTTAGGTCTTGAGGTTTGAAAACATTCTGTCCTCCATTCTTCACTTTGGAGTTCTCCCACTGGCCAATGGTAAGGGATTCCTGGGAGACAACGTGACTCTGATATTGGCTAAATGTGGGGAATTGTTTGAGACTTTCCACCCCGAAACACGTATTACGTTATTACGGATCCAGGCCAGAACCAGAATTTGCAAAGTTTGTATCATCAATGATATAGTTGCAAAATCAGTTATTCTAGGTCCAAGCCTTGTTTGCAACTCTACTTGCAAATTCAGCAAGAATAGCTAACTCTGGCTGAATTTAGGAGATTGAAACCACTCTCCTTAGGCAGTAAAGAACCTCCTTTGTGTCAATTGAAAATGAGATCATTTTCCCTAGGGAATATCTTTGTGGTTCTTATGCAAGGACCATTGTATGAGTAGACACAGTTTTAATGAATGACAATTCTGGGTCTTCTCCTTGTGCTGCAATTGTTTACAAACAACTTCTAGAGTTTGGCTCAGTTAAAATATTTTTTACATTAGACACTGAAATGTTCCCAGACACTGAAATACCACTAACTAGGCATTTGCTTTTTCTTTCTTTTTTTTTTTGAGTTGGAGTCTCACTCTGTTGGCACACTCACGGTCACCCCAGCATCAACCTGATGGGCTCTGGTGATCCTTCTGCCTCAACTTTCTGGAACTACAGGTGCACGCTACCACACCCGGCTAATTTTTTATTTATTGTAGAGATGAGGTCTTGTCAAGTAGCCCAGACTGGTCTTGAACCTGCAGGCTCAGACAATCCATTCGTCTTGGCATCCCAAAATGCTGAGATTACATGCTGAGCCACCGAGCCCGGTCAGCAGGCATTTTCAAAATAAATTAAGCAAGTGGAAAATGAGCAGCATTTTTCTGCCATGCAAAATGCACAAAATCGCAGGTACACTTGTACTTATCATGAATTAATGAACAATTCTTCCAGGAAAACGCAAGGGACTTATCAGAGAGAATGGAATGATGGAACCGGGAAGATGAAAAGATCAATTATTTAAAAGTTTCTTAAGAGCCGGGCACAATGGCTCATAATCCCAGCACTTTGGGAGGCTGAGGTGAAAGAATTACCTGAGCCCAGGAGTTCAAGACCAACCTGGGCAACATGGCGAGACCTTGTCTCTACAATAAATCAAAAATTAGCTGGGCATGGTGGCACACACCTGTAGTCCCAGCTACTTGGAAGGTGGAAGGATAGCCTGAGCCCAGCAGGCTAAGCATGCGGTGGCTGTGATTGTGCCCTTGCACTCCAGCCTGAATGATAGAGTGAAACTCCAACTCAAAAAAAAAAAAAAATCTTAGACCAGGTACTCACGCCTGTAATCCCAGCACTTTGGGAGGCCGAGGCAGGAGGATCACTTGAGCTCGGGAGTTCAAAACCAGACTGGCAACATAGCAATACCCTGTCTCTATAAAAAAAATTTTAAAATATCCAGGTGTACTGGTGTACACCTGTAGTCTCAGCTACTCAGGGGGCTGAGGCAGGAGGATCATTTGAGCCCCGAAGGTCAAGACCGCAGTGAGCTGTGATATACCACTGCGCTCCAGCCTGGATGACAGAGTGAGACTCTGTCTCAAAAAATAAATAAATAATAACAATTAAATATAAAAATAAAAAGTTTCTTGTCAGTCTCTTACTAAAAAGTTTGCTAAAATCTCTATGGTTGTGCCCAATTTTTTTTACATCTTGTTCTACATTTCAGCAAAACTGCAGCAAGGATTTCCTTTGCCCAATCCACACAAAGTCTCATTTGTCAGTTCAGATATTGAAGTCCTTGAGGTAAGAATACAAATCGCCTCTGAACTGGTCCATTTCTCTTCATAGTAGAATAAGCCTCTCTCTGTTTTGCTTCTTTCTTTTTTGTTCTGCTTTGTTTTTTTCCAGACCAAGGAATTTTGTAAACAAAAGTTTTAGCTCTTAAAGCACAATTAACAATGAAAAGCATTTACAGTTGAGTTTAAAAATCAAATGTATTAAATTTTAAAAATGTATTCACTCTACAGTACAAGAAAATGCTCTTTGACACTTTATTTGACTTACTCTACAAGACAAACTGTCAGACTGGAATTATTAGACCCATTTTATTGATGAGGAAAGTAGGACTCAGAGAGGAGAAAGTGGCTCAGGTAGCTGGAACAGGGCATGGCTGGGACAGGACTGGCTCGTGTGATTCTCCCAGACACTGGGCTTCTCCTAAACCAAAAACCTCCCCTGGACTCAGGGATCTGCTGAGAGCTGTGTTGGTTAATTATTGTTAACTAACTTCAGAACATTCTCCCCCTCTTTTTAGCATTTTTTTTGTTTGTGGAGGTGGACTAATTTTTTGTTTTGTTTTGTTTTGAGTCAGAGTCTCACTGTTGTCCAGGCTGGAGTGCAATGGAATGCTCACAGCTACTGCAGCCTCGATGGGCTGGACTCAGGTTATCCTTCTGTTTCAGCCTTCCACGTAGCAGGGACTACAGAAATGTGCCACCATGCCCAGTTAATTCTTTTTTATTGTAGAGACAAGGTCTTGCCAAGTTACCCAGGCTGGTCTCGAACCCCTGGACTCAGGCAAACCTCTTGCCTCGACCTCCCAAAGTGCTGGGATTTGAGAACTGAGCCACCACACCTGATCGTTGACTAAGTTTCTGAAGGAATTCTCCAACCCCTCTCACCTCCCTGCCTCTCTGACCGCCTTGTCTATAATTGATTTAGTCACATCAGGTGGTAGATTCCCAAATGGCCTTTCCTTTTTCTGAGGCACTCACAAAGGATTAGCTGGAGACCTGACTCAGTAGGACCTGGTAAATAAGCCATCTCTCCCTCATCCGCAGGCAAACCCAGGTGTGCCCAAAGCTTATCTTTATCTTCGTTGTTGCTTCCTTTTCAGGGTTTCCTTTTGATTTCCACTGACCTGAAGTATGAAACACCCTCAAAGCAGCAGCCAACTTTCCACGGTTGGGAAGGTCTAAACCTAATAAACGGATGGTGGAAGGGGAAGCCAGCCCCTTGATTGTCAGCACGCAATCCACCCCAGGAAGTAAATGGCCCTTAATCCCACAGTTGCTGTAAACCCAGAGGGGGAAGATAGTGCAATCTGGAATTTTAAAGTCCTTGTGAATTGCTTTGGCGGAAAGGTTTCTTTCTCAAGCCCTCAGGGACCAAGAAAGGGCTGAATCCAGGTGTTTGAATATGAGCACAGGCGTGCTGTGCGTGCCTATGTTTATGTTTGTGTGTTTTGGACAAGAAAGATCCTGGGACAAGAGCTAGGCATGTACTTCTGACCAACTGGGTAAAAAACCCTTCCATTTGTATTTGTTTTGGTTGTTCTCAGTAGAGATCCCTTCAGCTTCTAAGGAATTTCCCCTGCTTGCATATTGAATTTTATGTTTTATATTCACTGTTTACTATCTCCTGTGTTTAATTAAAATGTTTTCTATGTCAATCTTGATTTTTTTTATTTGAGAAATTTGATTTTTTAAAAATAAGACTTAGTAAAGGGAATAAAATGTAGTTTCTTTAACATTAACAACACAGAGGTTGTGCAGATGTTGAGGCTTGGTTTTAAAAGAGGATCTTTTGCCCTGAAATCTTTTCAGTAAGAGACAGGGCAACCACATTAAAAAGATGAAACACCAAAATGGAGTAACCTTAGCTAAGGTTCAGCCATTATACCACTGCTTAGCTGTCATGCTTTCTTAAATTACCTAGCCTGCCCTCTAAACATTAGCAAAGGGTAGAACCAGTTTCCCAGAGGTAGCTATTGATAATTGTCTTGCAACCCCCCAAGCCTGCCTTGTACTAATTACTTTTCTATCCCAAGTGTTTGTCTTCCAGCCCTAAAGGGCCAAATAACCTACTCTATAGTGATCAGCCACCACTTGGAGTCATAAAATGTGTCACCTTGACATCAAGGCACAAGACCTATGTTATCAACACCCAAGAATGCGATTGCTGGAGACTTTTTTTTTAACCAGTCCCATTCCCTTATAGAAACTTTAAAATATACCCCACTTTCAAATGGCACCACGTTGCCCTTAGCTCTTAGCATTGATCCCATCCAAGCTTGGACGTGAGCAAACTCTGTTTCTTTGCCTCTGCAATTCTTTGCTTTATTTCAATGGCACTGGCCTACCCTACTGAACCCAAACACACAGGAAACTCATCATTTCTTAAAGGGTGAAAAGTCGAAATGGAGTAACTTTAGTCATAGTGGCAGCCAATTTAACACTGCTTAGCTTTGTAATGCTTTCTCAGAAGCACACTGATTTCCAAGGATGTAGTTTCTTGACAGTCACATCAAGTTTCTCCTTACTAATATATTCTAAGTATTTACCTTCCTGCCATGAAAGCTAGGGTTAACACACCTGGAATCCTGAGACTGGTGGTTTCAATACCCAAGAATGCAGCTGTTGGAGTCATTTTTACTCTTTTTATTTCCTTGAGGAGATCACAAATACTCTGACCCTCCATATTGGATGTCACACTTGCCTGTGAGTGTTCAGCCCCTCCATTTATGGAAAGTGGATAAGCTGCCTTTTCTTTCTGTCTACTCTTTGTGCAACCTAACAATTTCTTTAAGTTTTAGGATGTTTCTCTCCACGGCGTCAATGAAATGGCAATGCAGAGTAGACAACCTAGACAATTCATAGTTGATAATTATATTAATGTTGCCAGAGCACCTAATCAAGGGGGTGAAATTGAGGCAGAAGAAGAGGAAAATGTAGATAATGTAATAAAGATACAGAAACCACAAACTGTGTCTTTGTAGTACTTATGGTCTAGTGGGGAAGGGGAAGGGAGGAATCACACAAAGTCAATAAATGGATAGAAACTGATTCCAAGTCTGATTCCAAAATCACTGCTCGTTACATGAGGCGGGACTCAAATCTGAAATCACTTAATGCTCACTTATCACTACGAACAAGAGACATTGCATATAAAAGCATGACAACAGAGGACATAGTCATCAAAGAAGGCTAGACTGGGAAGCCCTGGCGAATCACAAGGAACGAGATGTACTCATCTTTGTAGCACTCATCTGGTCAGAGTAGAGGCCCTCACAAGTGTTTGTTGGAATAAATGACACACTGTCATATTTTTTCAGTGTTTGGCATGCTCTCTTGTGACATAAAAGTTGTTTGCTATCTAGCCATAGATTCATTTCCTAACATTACCAAATTTCAGGTGTGTTATTTACCCAAACATGTTTATCCTTCTCAGCTGTAGGCATGTCTTTTCCCCTCACCGCTAGGAATATAAACTCCAAGCTGATGCATTTACTAGATCAGCTGGACCTAAGCCAGATTCAGTGTGCTTTTATAAGCTGCTGAAAAGCACTTCCAAAGCGAGAGATAAGTAGATCACATTGAAAACTACTATATTTGGCTTAGCCGTAGCTGAGAAATCGACTGAGATCCTCAAAACTAAACCCAAGCGGGGAGCCTAACTTATCTAGGGGAACGCGATTGTGCGAAGAGCTTTGAGCCTCGGCGCTTGCCGTCGCCCCCTCCGCCGCGCAACCGGCTGCGCCTGCGCGTTGGTTCCTAGAAGAAGGCGCTCGGGAAGTCGGACGGCGCGGCGGCTGTTCTTTAAAGCGGAGCCGTGAGTTTCCGCCAGTGGTTTCGCCGCCATGAGTCGCAACTATAACGATGAGCTACAGTTCCTGGATAAGATCGATAAAAACTGCTGGAGGATCAAGAAGGGCTTCGTGCCCAACATGCAGGTGAGGCGGGGGAGCAGGACGCAGCGGCGGGGCCTTCCCTGCTCCGGGTGCGACGTCTCCCTCCCTGGCCTGGACGGCGTCCTCCGCGCCCCCCCGGCCCTCCGGGCTCTCCCGAGCCCTGGACCCTTCCCACCCCTCGCAGCCTCCCCTCGCCCCCGCCCCGTGGTTCTGGGTCTGCCCGACCTGTGCCGGCCCCACCGCCTCGCAAGAGAGGTTCCGGGAACAGGAGGACGAGCCAAGCGAGGAGGTCTAAGGAATCCAAGTGAATATGAAATTGGCATTTACGGGGCGTTTTCGCACGCAGGTCTCATAAACGCACCATGAGGATGGTGCTGGACCAAGTGAAAACTCTTAGAAAAGCTTTCACTATTCCATGTTGGCCTTTTGTTCCTTGTAATAGCCTAGATGACTAATAATATTCACTTCGCAGATGGACCTTGAGGATCTATCGGCCTCCTGTGCCCATCTAGGAAGAAGTTCAGCCACGATTTGATGTCCAGTTCACTAACTTTTCCTCTGACAGGATGATGTATCCCAGAAAGAGACCTGGGAGCCAAAGACCGGGTCATCTGAAAGTCTGGGCTCGCCGTATTTCTTAGGCTTTGTCACCATTGATGCTCACATTAACGTGAATAAAGAAAACGTCTGTGAGGTTTGGGTGCATGTGCTAAGTAGTTCTGGACATCCTTCAAGGTGCCCATGTGCATGCACCAAAGGTTTGTGATCCTTGTGGTTAGGTACAAAAAGGCCTTGATGGCCTCTCCACTCTTTTATTCGATATTCAAGCTTATTGAGTTTCTCCTGTCAGCAAATTTCTTAGCTTGGCCCTGGAGGGGAAAAAAGCCCACAGTGATAAAACAATGTTCTGTTTCCTATTTGGTCGGTTTCTTTGTGTGGAATCTGGTACCCTGAAGGAAGGAATAGAACATTTTTAAATGATCATCTTTAGGGTGTAATAACAGACTGCTGTTGTCTGGCAGCTATTCTGGCTCAGCTTTTTTTTTTTTTTTTTTTTTTTTTTTGAGTTGGAGTCTCCCTCTGTCACCAGACTGGCCTCAGCCTTCCGAGTAGCTGGAATTACAGGCATGTGCTACCACGCCTGGCTGATTTTTTTTTTTTTTTTATTGTAGAGAGGAGGTCTTGCCAAGTTGCCTAGGCGGGTCTCGAACCCGCGGACTCAGGCAGTCCACTCACCTCAGCCTCCCAAAGCGCGGGCTTACGGGCTGAGCCACCAAGCCCGGGCTCTGGCTCAGCTTTTTATGCTCACACTACTGCTAATTCTATTTAGGAGCAAGTCTAATTCTGCTAGGCAATTCTGGTTTAACTACATATACAACACTTTACCACTAACTCTCATTTGGAAATGTAGGCTTGAAATCTCGACACATTGCTCTTAAGATATTACTGACCTCTCCATGCTAAGCTTGAACTGTGCTTCCATCCTCATGAGAATAGTGAATTTCACACTAATAATTCTCTGTATTTCTTCCCCAAGACCCACATACTACACTAAAAATTCCTCTTTCTTCCCTTAAAACACTCCCCTTTCATCGTTATGTCATTGTGTTCAGCTCCTGAATGTTCTGCTGCCCCAGCGATGTCTCTTGTCTTTAAAGAACCATTTCAAACAGGAGTTCAATAAAGCCTCTCTCGGCTCCCTGGACTGTTGAGCCCTTCTATCAGATTCTTCCAGGGCACAGTGTACTTCTCTTACAGCACTTGCCTCATTACACTCTAGTATTCTCTGGGCTGCATCCTGGACTGAAAGCTCCTCAAAAACAAGATCTTGCCATATGCTTTGTATCTCCCTAGTGCCTGGTACAGTGCCTCATGTATAGAATGTCTTCAGCTGGTGTTTGGAGAACTATTAAATCTTCTTTAAGATTATGTCGATTGTAGAACTAAGCACACAGCTACATGACTGCTTGTTAAATGTGACCCTTAGAAAATTATACCAGAAACATTATACTAGTTGATGGTATTAACTGTTTTTCAGCAGTGGTGATGAAGTCAGACTTCTAATAAAAGAAATTTACTTTTCCAGACAATTAAGTGTTAAATCTTTGGTATTACTGGACAGTGCCTTCATAATATTTGACCTCTCTGATAAAATGTTCTGCCCTTTGGTATCATGTAATTATATCTTCCATTGCCTTGTATGTGCCTTCTCTGTTGTCAGGCTTCTTTAAGATTATATTTAGATTATATTGCAGATGAGCAATCTGACTGTAAAAAAAAAAAAAGATTATATAGGTTATAGAACTAAGCACATGGTACATAGCTATGTGTTAAATTTTTTTACTCACTATTTACCTAAGTATAAATGTATAAGCCAACACTGAACACAGTAAAATGTAATTTGCTGTTGTCTTAAACAGGAAAAATACACTCAGATGACTGCATCTTATGTTTAAAATTTGAGGTTTCAATTAATCTTTTTTCCAAAATCCATTGAGATTTTAAAATCCTGAGAATACCAAGACCTTAGGCCTTTGTGAGAGCATAGTTGAAAGACTTTTCTTTATCACACCAAAAATGTTTTATCGTTAGATTCTTTTTTTTTTTGAGTTGGAGTCTCACTCTGTCTCCCAGACTGGAGTGCAGTGGCACGCTCCTGGCCACCGCAGCCTCGACCTGCTGGGCTCTGGCAGTCCTTCCGCCTCAGCCTTCCAAGGAGCTGGAACTACAGGCACACACTGTCACACCTGGCTAATTTCTGATTTATTGTAGAGATGAGGTCTCTCCAAATTGCCCGGGCGGGTCTCGAACCTGCTGGCTCAGGCAGTCCACTCACCTCGGCCTCTCAAAGCACTGGGAATACAGGCTGAGCCACCAAGCCCGGCCTGTTAGATTCTTAAATGTGGCTTTAAGAGGAGGAAAATAAAAACAATTTGTGAACATTGCAAGATCTGTTATTAAGGTATATTTAATCCTTTGCACATATCTTATACTTTTCTAACATGATAATATATGAAACAATCACCAACACTGCATTGCAGGCTCATTGATACATGATGTGCAATAGTAATTTGTTTGGTATCTTCCACCTGGTATTTTTCTATTCGAGCAGACAATGCAGTCTCATTTTCTTCCTCCCACATTAATAATGTGTAATTTATTGTCTACTCTGTTGTTCGAAGATGATGTAGAAGGACATTTCTTTCTATGTAATGCCAGCTGATTTTTTTTAAACATATATCTCAGTATATATTCCATCTCTTTATTTGCTTTTTCATGACGTTTGAATGGAGAACTTCAAGGAAACATACATGTTTGAAAAATATGTGCTGGCATAAGTTTGTCCTCTGTAATCACCAACAGTCTCTCTGTGTCCCCTGAGAGGGGACATCTGAGTACAAAGGGCTACAGATGGGAGCAGCTTGTAGTCTTGAATAGGAAGTTTTCTGCTTGTTTAAGATAATGTGAAAATGTTTTACAAAGAGTGAAGCAAAGAAAATATTGCAGGAGTTCCATCCAATGCCTGTACTTCCTGCACATGCACTCAGACATTGTTTTTCCTTTTCTTTGGTACCAGGTTGAGGGAGTTTTCTATGTGAATGATGCTCTGGAGAAGTTAATGTTTGAGGAATTAAGGAATGCCTGTCGAGGTGGTGGTAAGTACATTGGATTTTCTCTTGTGATTGTTCAATGGTAGCCTAAAAAGGTAGTAACTCAGATAATTTTTTTTTTTTTTGAGTTGAAGTCTCACTCTGTCACCCAGACTGGAGTACAGTGGCCACTTCCGACCACCGCAGCCTCGACCTGCTGGGCTCCAGCAATCCTTCCGCCTCAGCCTTCCAAGTAGCTGGAAGCACAGGCGCGCGCTACCATGCCTGGCTGATTTTTGATTTATTGTAGAGTTGAGGTCTCGCCAAGTTGCCCAGGTGGGTCTCGAACCCGTGGGCTCAGGCAATCCACTCACCTCAGCCTCCCAAAGGCACGGGATTACAGGCTGAGCCACCAAGCCTGGCAAACTCAGATAATTATAATTTAAGAATATTGTCAAGGAATGATCATGACTTGAAATGAGACCAAAAAACTTATTCTTTGTGATCCCCGTTGTTAGCCACTTGGTCTTGTAGAAAGGATTTGGAAATGGTGGGCCTGCTTTGTTTCTCATCTAACCTTGAACAATAATAGCAAGACCTACCATATATTTTGCACTTCCTGAATGTTAGGCGTTTTACTAGGTACTTTGCATCCATTATCTCATGTAGTACTTAAAGTAACTGTAAAAGGACGATATTGTCTCCATTTTACAGATATGTGAGTCAAAGCTCAGTGAAATTAAATCATTTTAATTTGCCCTAAACGTTGTCATACAACTTCTTGGGGACTGCCAGTTCATATCTGAGAGTGTCTAATTTCAAAGCCTGTATTCTTAACCAATACACTTTCTGAATTTCAGTTATCTGTAAAATAGGACTTATTGCACCTATCTTGCAGGGCTGCACAGAGGTTTATAGATAAAATGTATAAAGCTATAAGCTCTAATGGTGATAGTGTAGAATTTGCTTAGTTTTAGCCTTTCTATTTAAAAAAAAAAAATTAATTGGGGTCTCTGTTGCCTAGGCTAGAGTGCAGTAGCATGATCACAGCTCACCGCAGCCTCCACCTTCTAGGCTCAAGTAATTCTTCCACCTGTGCCTCTAGTGCTGTAGGCATGTGCCACCACTCCCAGCTAATTTTTTTATTTTATTTTTTTGGTAGAGTTGAGATCTCACTATATTGGCCTGGCTTGTCTTGAACTTCTGGGCTCAAGCAATCCTCCTGTCTTGGCCTCCCAAAGTACTGGGATTACAGACATAAGCCGCCATGTCAGACCTTAATTTTTATTTTTTTGAGTTGGAGTCTCACTCTGTCAATCAGGCTGGAATACAGTGGCACTATCATGGCTTACCACAGCTCTGACCTCCTGGGCTGAGGCGATCCTTCCACCTCAGCCTCCCGAGTAGCTGGGATTGTAGGCATGCACCAGCATGCCCAGCTAATTTCTTGATGTTTGTAGAGACAAGGTCTCACTATGTTGCCTAGGCTAGTCTCGAACTCCTGGGCTCAAGCAGTCCTCCCTTTTTGGCCTCCTAAAATGGTGGGATTGTGGACATGAGCCCCCATACCTGGCCACTTTCATTTTTTAGAACAGCAAATTAAAGCTTCCCCCAGCCACCACCAGGGTATGCTTGTCTAAAATGGCACAGCTTCCAAGTGACAGAACTGGGATTGGTACCCCAATCCCCCTGACTCTCAATCCGGTGTCTCCCAGCTTTTCCACATTGCCCTTCTTTGTCACTTAGAATAAAACCAGTGTGAATTTTACATCTTCTAGTACAACATATGCAAGCAGCCTTCTTGTGGTATACGCAGAACACTGATAGCTTGTTTGTGATTGTCTTTCCTTTGCTTGTGCTTCCTTAAAGAAGCTCCTTTTCCAGTTGTATCTCAAACATCCTTCCATACTTTGTTGTTTTAGTAGCTCTAACCCCTACTGTGTAATGCAGTCTAGCTGCATGAACATAATGCTGAAAATTGAATCTGTCCTCTTTACTAACATTCACTTCTTATCTTTAGGTGTTGGTGGCTTCCTGCCAGCCATGAAGCAGATTGGCAATGTGGCAGCCCTGCCTGGGATTGTTCATGTGAGTCAGAGTTCAGACCTTTAATCATATACATTTCAGTCTGAAGTATGTTTGGTGGATGAATGACCATACCTGATAGTGGTATCATTTAGACAATGACCTTTAAACATCTAGAACTAACCATGGACTTAAAGAAATAATTGAGTCAGGATAGCATCTGTTTCTGGATGCCTTTGGCTAAAATCTATAAGCATTCAAGAACCTTTGAAGTAGTTTTTTGGTTTTTTTTTTTTTTTTTTTGAGTTGGAGTCTCACTCTCTCGCCCAGACTGGACTGCAGTGGCCGCTTCCGGCCACCGCAGCCTCGACCTGCTGGACTCCGGCAATCCTTCCGCCTCAGCCTTCCAATTAGCTGGAACTACAGGTGTGTGCTACCACACCCGGCTAATTTTTTTATTTATTGTAGAGATGAGGTCTCGCCAATCTGCCCAGGCCGGTCTCGAGCCTATGGGCTCAGGCAGTCCACTCACCTCAGCCTTCCAAAGCGCAGAATTACGGGCTGAGCCACCGAGCCCGGCTGAAGTAGTTTTAATGTTGTTTCTTTGTCATAGTAATGTCATTATTCTTGGATAAACCACCCTTGTAGGTTTCCCTGCAGCCCTATCGAGAGGATGGTAGGAGAAGGAATAGAAAGAAGTTGAAAGGTTTAGGACTGAGGGGAGGGAGAGGGGTCAGCATAGCTATTCTGGTCATGATTAAAAAAGAAGGGTGGTAGCAATAACAGATGAAACTGGGTGGTCCAGGTGGGCCCTACCACAGTCTAATACTTGTATTCCACTGATAGAGGCAGGTTTGGAAATAGATCCACTCAGCAGACGTTTTTTGAGGTCTTTTTTTATGCCAGTGATTATGCCAGGCACTTGGGTGGGAGGTATGAAATGATATGAGTTGCACATTTAAAGAACTTATTAGTGTCTAGATGTTTCCGTATAAGCTCACCATGGTTGACCTGCATTCTTCCTGGGTCAGGGTCCTTTTCTAGGCCCCAGACGTAGGAAGTCTATATATATATATATATATATATACCATCAAATGGATTACATCTGTTAGTATTAACTTACATTAATGACCTATGTAAGTTGAATATTTTCCTTTTCTTAACCTTATCAGTATGTGAAGATCATTTTTAAAATATAATAGTATATTAAAGTTAGTATGTGGTCCTCCTACATCATGTTATTATGAGGCTTTTCTGTTTTGGATTCCCTTAGTTAACAATCAGACTTTATAAAAAGGGTTTTTCTCAGTATATTTAGCTTTGTGATAGTTCCTATACCTAATTTTCACTAATAGAGAAGATTTTGTGAAAACAGACTCTTGATTTGGGGAAGATTTCAGCCTTCAGCCTCTTTGAGAATCAGCATCAGGTCCATCAGACAACCAGAGTGCCAGGTCATGACAGCTGTATTTCACTTTCTAATTCTCTTTCAGCGATCTATTGGGCTTCCTGATGTCCATTCAGGCTATGGGTTTGCTATTGGGAACATGGCGGCCTTTGATATGAATGACCCTGACGCAGTGGTATCCCCAGGTAAGGTCGCTGTGCATGCCTGCTGTTAAGTGTACAGCTTCTCCCCATGGACCACAGTATTTCTGAAACAGATCACTGCTTCTCTTCCTATACATAACTCAGTCTCATCATATTCTGTCACTTTTTTTATCACATTCACTGTGAGAATTGATTGTGCACCTTGAGAGGCTATGAAAATATCAAGCAAGCCGGGCTCGGTGGCTCAGCCTGTAATCCCGCGCCTTTGGGAGGCTGAGGTGAGTGGATTACCCTCGCCTGCGGGTTTGAGACCCGCCTGGGCAGTGAGACCTCATCTCTACAATAAATCAAAAACTCAGCTGGGCGTGGTGGCGCATGCCTGTAATTCCAGCTACTCGGAAGGCTGAGGCGGAAGGATCGCCGGAGCCCAGCAGGTCGAGGTTGCGGTGGCTGGGAGCAGCCACTGCACTCCAGTCTGGGCAACTGAGGGAGACTCCAACTCAAAAAAAAGAAAATATCAAGCAAAGTCTATATTTATTGTAAATTTGGAGAGGCTACTATCAAATGCCACACACTATTCAGACATTGGCTACAAAACAAACTGGCACATTTTGTATCGTTATAACTCAGTTACCTCATGGGCAAATTGAATCTGATAGTGTTACCACAGCATTATTATGAGGATTAAATGAGTTCATCTGTGTAAAATACTTAGCACAGTGCCAAGCACATAGGACATACTCAGTAAGTATTTATTCTTCTCATCATTCTTATTCACCTTTAGTAGTATACACCTTTTCTGCTGTAGTTATGAGCTGCTTTCACCAAAAACATTTCATACCAGAAGTAATATCCTTGCTTTAAAAAGTCTGAATTAAAAGGTTTAAATAATATTTTGAGAGTTCTGCTTCTGGCAGTGGTGAACTAGGTTGTTTCAGACCAATTTCCTGCTAAAAATAATGAGAAAGGCTGGGTAAAGTTTGTGTGTGTGTGTGTGTGTGTGTGTGTGTGTGTGTGTGTACACACCCACATATATATATACACATATACATACATATACATGTATTAAATATATATACCTGACTTGTGTGTTTGTGTGTATATTTATACATGTACACACACACACGCACACACACACTAATCTGTTTGAAGGCATAGGAAAACTGCTAAGGCAATACAAATTTGTGAGGTCAAGATACAGAGGAAGAGAAGAAAAGGGTTCAGATATGTGAGCCCAATATTTAAAACTGTTTTTCTCTTGAGATAATGGAAAATTGATTACTTATTTTAGAGTTGTGGGGTACATGTGGGATTTACTACATAAGTAGGTTGTATGCAGGCTTCTAGCTGGCCCTCTCTCCTCCTGGTAGTGGAGCAGGTACCCAATGTGTTGCTGCATTTCTCCCACCCCCTCCTCCCTCTCTACCTTCCCTAGTGGTGTCTAGCATCTGCCGATTCTACCCTTTTGCTCGTGTGACGGTGTTCAGGGCCCACTTATGAATGAGAACACGTGCTATTCAGTTTTTTGTTTCTGTGATAGTTCACTTAGTATGATGGTCTCCGGCTGCATCCAAGTTGCTGAGAAGGCCATGGTTTTGTTTTTCTTTATGGCTACATAATATTCCATTATGTATATGTATCCCGTTTTCTGTTTTTGTTTTTTTTTTTCTTGAGTCAGAGTCTCACTCTGTTGCCCAGGCTAGAGTACAGTGGCACACTCACGGCCACTGCAGCCTCAATCTGCTGTGCTCAGGCGAGCCTTCCTCCTCAGCTTTCCAAGTAGCTGGAACTACAGGCATCCGCTACCACGCCCGGCTGATTTTTTTTATTTATTGTAGAGATGAGGTCTCACCATGTTGCCCAGGCTGGTCTCGAACTCGTGGGCTCAGGCAGTCCTCTCACCTCTGCCTCCCAAAGTGCTGGGATTACAGACATGAGCCACTGTGCCTGGCTGTACCACATGTTCTTTATCTAGTCCACTTTCGATGGGCATCTGGGTTGGTTCCATGTTTCTGCTGTTGTGAATAGTGCTGCAATAAACATGCATATGCCAGTGTCTTTCTGGCAGAGCAATTTATGTTCCTCTTTGTGTGTTCCCAGGAGAGGGATTGCTGGATCGTACAGCAACTCAGTTTTGTTTTGTTTTTTTAAAATATCTTTGAGAAATCGAGGTAGTGGCAAACTTCATTAGTAAAAATATGGATGACTTGAATGATCTAGTTAACAAACTTGACACCTTGACCTGTAATATACATGTGGTTGTGTGTGCATATGCAACATGCATTGCAGTGCACCCAAAAAGTGCAAAATATACACTTTTTCAAATGTACAGTTTTTACCAAAATTGACCACATGCTGAGCTATAAAGCAGATCTCAAACTTTAAAGCATTGAAATCACAAACCAGCAGTTCTTGAATTTGCACCCAACACCTCTTTACACTCATAAAAATTATTGAGGATTGATCTCAAAGACTTTCATCAACATTTACCTTAAAACAGAAAGTTTTAAAAGACAAGAATACACAAGTACATGTCATATTATCCATCAGAGTAAAGGTATTATTATCTCATTTCGTATAGCCTTTGGAAAATCTCACTGTACACTCATGACAGAAAATGAGTAAAAAGACAAATGTGTTAGTATTATTAAAAAATAAGTCTTACAGACTTGAAAGGGTTTTATCCTCCTAATTTCACTCTAAGGTCTCTGGACCACACATAAGAACCACTAATACAAGAAGTTATTTCCTGACCGGGGTGGGATTAAATTAAAAGTCTTGTTTTAAAAAAACAGCAATAACAAAAACTAGGAAAAAACCCATATTTGGAAATTATCCTTTTCAAAAATAGCCTATAAGTCAAAAAATATCATAATGGAAATTAATGTTAATAAATAACACTAATGTCTAAAAATTAAGAATGTTGAGAAAAGGAAATCTTTGTACAGTATTTGGGGAATGTAAATAAGTATAACCATAGTGGAAAACAGAATGTAGTTTCCTCAGAAAGTTAAAAAGAAATACAATCCAGCAGTCCCACCTGTGGTTTTATTCCCAGAGGAGCAAAAATCATTGTGTCACAGATATCTGCACTGTTGTGTTCATTGCAGCATTATTCATAGTAGCCAAGGTATGAGAGCAACCTAAGTGACTGTCAACAGGTAAATGGATTAAAAAAAGATGTAGTTTATATATGCACAATGGAATATTATTCAACCTTAAAAAGGAAGGGAATCAATTTAAATTGAAGGAGACAAAAAGGAAATCCTGCTGTTTACTACAACATAGATGAACCTGGAGGACATATGCTGACAAATAAGCCAGACACAGAAAGAAAAATACTATGTGATCTCACTTATATAAGGAATCTAAAAAAATTGAATTTACGGAGACAGAGTGGAATGGTGGTTACAGGGGCAGAGGGTGAGTACTGAGGAGATGTTGATCAAAGAATAACAAAATTATAGTTATAAGATAAATCAGTTCTGGAAATCCAATGTACAACTTGGTGACTATAGTTAATGTACTTAAGTCAGACCAGGGAGCAGACGCCACAGCGCAGTTGCCAGCACACTTGGCCTGGCCCGTCAGTCTGCACTTGTACTTGCACTTGGCTGCAGCTGTTCCTGCTGCTCTTCGGGCCCCCTCCTCGACTTCTGTCTGAGGAGGCAGCTCAAGGCAGACCCGCCAAGCCCTGGGGCAGCCACGAGTGGGGGTGGCCTGCCCACCTGTGTGGGGTACCTGATCCTCAGGTCCTCGGTGAACAGTGGCTTGGCAAGCAGGCGGCTCAGCTCTCTTTTCAGGTGCTTCATCTGCTTCTGCCTCCGCTGCTCCTCCTGCTGGTCGGCTTTCCCTCCCTTATACTTCTCTTCCAGCTCAATCTCCAGGGCAGCCGAAGGCTTCTCAATCCACGAGTTGTGCAGGCAAGCCTGGAAGTGACGGTACTCGGCTTTCTCAATCTGTGGCACTAAACGGATTCACTCCTTGACTGCATCTATGTACTTGGTCTGCACAGAGAAGAAAGGGATGTCTTCATCTTTCTTGAGGGTTTTGTAGATCTTCCTAAAGTTGGTCCCATCCTCAGGCCCCATTAGCATCAGACTGAAGCCTTCATTGGCAGCTCGAACCGTTCAGCCACTTTGGTGGACATAAATCTCCGAGGTGCGAGGGACCTGGTAATGGATAACTTGCTGAACTTTAGGGATATCCAGACCCCGAGCTGCCTCATCTGTTGCCAAGAGAATACAGTCTTGTAGGAGGACAAACTGCTCCAGGTTTCTGAGCCTCTGCTTCTGGTGCATATAGGCATGCAAGGTCATAGGCATGATGTCCAGGACTTTGAGGAGCCCAGAGAGGCGTTTGATGCAAGAAATGCTGTTGGCAGACACTAGGGTGCGGCCCGGGTACTGCATCGCAATGGATCTTAGTCTCTGTCAGCGACTCAACCGTGGCCTCATGCCTTGTGAGGTCAGTGACCTTGGGCTTGCCTCTCATGCCGATCCTTTGCATGAGGAGATCAAGCCTGGCTGTCTTGTCCATCTTCTTGATGTGCTTCTTATGAAGGGTTCAAGCAGGAGCTTGATGTGTCAGGGCCAGGGTGGCAGAAAAAACAAGCGTTTGTCTCTTTGAGTTGTACTGGGAGTCATTCAGCATCTCCAGCAGCTGCGAGAGCTCGGCAAAATGGCCCTTCTCAACCATGCGGTCAGCCTCATCCACCACCAGGCATCTGAGCTGCCGAAGGCTGCTCAAATGAGGGTGCTTTTCTTTCACAAGCTCCCACAGCCGGCTGGGAGTGGCAACCACAATCTCAGGACAGCGACTGAACATCCTCTGCTGTTTCTGCATCAACATTCCACTAACCAAAATAGCAGTTTTGATTCCTGTAAACCTGGCCACAGCATCAATGTGCTGTTTGACCTGGACAACCAGCTCTCAGGTGGGAGTCAGAACCAGTCCCAGCAGAGGACGCTTCAGTTGTATGTTACAAGTGGCACTACTGTCACCCCATTCTTGCTTTAACTTTCCAGTCTGCCCTTCACCAGGCATTTCTTCTTCATCCTCGTTCTGTCTGGGAAAGGGCTTCCCTTGACCAGGGAAGAATGCCCTTCGCCAGCATCCTCATCATCACAGAAAGGCAACATCTGGTCTGAAGCGGTGCCTCCAGTCTCAGCGCTGGCCTGGCTGGGTGCTGGTCCAGCCTCGGCTCCAGGCTCCCCGGGCAGCGCCTCACTCTGAGCTCCAGCCTCATCAGGTGACTCGCCAGACTCAGTTCCAGCCTCTCCCGGTGATGCTTCAGTGTTACTTGGGAGAGGAGCAGGCTTCCTTTTTTGCCACTGCAGCACTGCATGAATCACAGGGATGGCAAAGGCAAGAGTTTTCCCACTTCCTGTCTCTGCAACTCCAAGGATGTCCAGTTTGTCACGGATGGCAGGTGCCAAGGTCAGGGCTTGGATTGGTGTGGGTGCACAGAAACCTAGAAAGCTGAGTGCTCAGAGAACCGGCTTAGGCGCAAACAGGTTCTTCCAAGCTGAAACATCTGCGTTCTGGTCATGAACTTCAGGCATCCATGTCTTTGCTTTTCTGGGCTCCTGAGCGGCAGTGCTCTGGGAAGGTTTCGGCTTTTTCTTCCCTTTCTTCTTCTTTTTTGGAGTAGTCTGGACCAGATGTTCTGATGTCACCTCCCCTACCTGCACACCAGGACAAACGGTGCCATCACCCTGGGGTGATGGCTCAGCATCTTTGACTTCAAGCCCATTCTGGGAACTGGTCCCTTCAGCTGCCACATCTTTACACTTCTTCAGTTTGGTCTTTTTCTTTGGAGAGCTAGACTCTCCTTCCTCCTCTTCTTGTGAAACAGCTTGTGCCTTTCTCTTCTTGTGCTCCCCCTTTGAGAAGAGATTGGAGGGACTTTTTTTGTTGTTGTTTTTGGTGGGGGTTTTTTGGGTTTTTTTGAGTTGGAGTCTCACTCTGTCACCCAGACTGGAGTGCAGTGGCCGCTCCCAGCCACTGCAGCCTCGACCTGCTGGGGTCCAGCGATCCTTCCGCCTCAGCCTTCCAAGTAGCCGGAATTACAGGTATGCGCTACCACGCCCGGCTAATTTTTTGATTTATTGTAGAGATGAGGTCTCGCTGCCCAGGCGGGTCTCGAACCTGCGGGCTCAGGCAATCCACTCACCTCAGCCTCCAAAGGCGCGGGATTACAGGCTGAGCCACCGAGCCCAGCTGGAGGGACTTTTAAAGAGACCTTTGGTCCCAACACTGGGGAAACTAAGGCAGGAGGATAGCAAGCCCAACCTGGGCAACATAATGAGACCCCATCTCTAAAAATAATAATATTAATGTATACTTGAAATTTGCTAAGAGAGTAGATCTTAAATGTCCTCACCAGAAAATAAAGGGTGGTAACTGTGAGTTCATGGGTATGTTAATTAACTTAATTTCCCAGTGTATGTGTACATTGTGTACACCTAAATACATGCAGTTTTTATTTGCCAGTCATATCTCAAAGCTGGGAAAAAAACGGTTTAAAAAATTCTTATGTTTGGCTGGGCACAGTGGCTCATGCCTATAATCCTACTCTGGGAGGCTGAGGTGGGAGAATTACTTGAGGTTAGGAGTTCAAGACTAGCCTAGGCAATATCACGAGACCTCATCTCTACAAAAAATGAAGAAAAAAACTAGCTGAATGTGGTGTCATGCATCTGTAGTTCCAATTATTCAGGAATCTAAGGCTGGAGGGTCACCTGAACCCAGGATTTTGAGGCTGTGGTGAACAGTGATTCTACCAAGCACTCCAACTTGGACAACAGAGTAAGACTCTGACTTAAAACTTATGTCCAAAAGTTTGGGGTTACTGTTAATGCCATCCTTGAATGGTAACATGTAGCCTTAAATGCACTCATCTGGAAAGAAGAAAGGCTGAAATATCAGCGATCTAAGCATTTTATCTCAAAAAGTTGAAGAAAGAACAAGTTAGACCCCAAAAGAGTAGAAAGATAGAAAAAATTAAGAGTAAAATTATTGAATTGTAAAGATACATCATAGAAAGAACCAACAAGCCAAAACTTGGTTATTTGAAAAGACTAATCGGGTTTATCAACCCCTAACAAGAGTAGTCTAGAAAAAGAATGAGACAAATTTTGATCTCCAGTTTTAGGTGGCATCCATTGTTCATTACTCCTCCCTAAACTATAAAGTACCTTTAGTATGTATGTTATTTATTTGCTGTCATCAGACTTTACCCAGCAGAGAGCCACTTTGTTGTCTACTTTAAAACATAGTTATCTTTAAGAGAACGGATGTCTTTTTAGCTCTACGTTAACAGTGAAACTGTAGGTAACAGTGCCTGCCCATCTGTCTTTGCTAATGTTTGACTAACTGTTTTCTACTTTGTAGGTGGTGTCGGATTTGACATCAACTGTGGTGTCCGCTTGCTGAGAACCAATTTAGATGAAAGTGATGTCCAGCCTGTGAAGGAGCAACTTGCCCAAGCTATGTTTGACCACATTCCTGTGGGAGTGGGATCAAAAGGGGTCATCCCAATGAATGCCAAGTAAGTGCGCATGTTTCCAGTAAATGGAATGGGAGGTTAATAACCCCTTGACCCCCTCAGCTTCATTTCCAGTGTAGGACACTTGGGAGACAAGGATTGTTAGTCACTTTCAGGAAGTATTAAGAACTACTTTTTAAGCATGAGGTCCAGCCCTGTTATCAGAGACATTAATTGACTGACATACATTGTAACAACCTTTGTCATACAGTAGAATTTATAATAGGATAATATCATTGATGCTTATTGAGCACTTTCTTTATGTAAGGCACTTTATATCTTATCATTTCATCTAGGCAATAACCCTATTATTTTCCCTAATTTATAATAAATAAAACAGGTTTAGAGAGATGATAAGCTTAATAAGTGATGTGAGGATTCAAACTAAAGATCCTTTGACTTCAGAAGCTGTATACTGTATCCCATTGCCTTTGGCCTATTTATCCACAACCTTCCTTTCTGAATGATAGCACTGAACGTGTTCATCAGCTAAGTAGAGAATTAAATACCATGCTACAGTGTCCTCTCAGATGCTCATGACTACTGTGTCGTAGCTCATGCAAAGCAGTGCACCTGAAACTTTGCAGTGTACTTAGTAGCAGAATAGCGTGCTGAGTATGTTTCCTTGACATCTGCTTTATTCTTAAAATTCATGTGAATTTCGTGTTCTAATCAAATACATGCACATAATTAATAGAAAAATGTTTTTAGCCATTACCTGGTTTGTTATGTAACTCCCCACTTCCTCCCAAGAAAAAAAGCTTGAAATACAATTGATGTACTTAGAAGATGCTTGTACTATGATTTCACACAACCCCTAACTCGGAAAGTATACATGGTAGATATAAATAAAGACTGGGCACAGTCGCTTATGCCTGTAACCCCAGCACTTTGGAAAACCAAGGTGGGAGGATTGCTTGAGCCCAGGAGTTTGAGACCAGCCTGGGCAACATGGCAACACTTCATCTCTACAGTAAATCAAAAAATTAGCTGGGCATCATGGTGTAAAAGGCTGAGACAGAAGGATCACCTGAGCCCAGCAGGTTGAGACTGCAGTAGCTGTGATTATGTCACTGCACTCAAGTGTAGGTGATAGAATGAGACTCCAAATCAAAAAAAAAGAAAAAGAAAAAATATAAATACATTTCAAGCATCTTTACAAATATTTTAGATAGGAATTTTGTCCTAATAAATAATGTCTGAAATGGGCTGTCATCTGGGGTAGCAGAAAGAAAACGTTGAAAAGTAATCTTTCTTGGTAGTGTTTTGGAAAACATCTGATCTTGACAGCTTTTTTCTCTAAGGGTTTAATATATGTGCACCTCGGTCTCCAAATACAGATGAACTGTACAGTACTTTTGTGAAGGTGGGACTAGCACTTAAAATTTAACCTGTTGCCTAAGGAAATCTAGATAACTTCATTGATACTTGACTATAGTTTTTCATAAATTAATGAAGACATATAGCTGATCAAATTAGTGGTAAAGAATACTTGATTAAGGTTATAAATTTTCTTTGGCTGCTTAATAACTGCCTCATAGAATTCAGGATCAGATGCAAATCTAATGTAAAAAAGATTTGAAAATTACAAGGGGCCATATAAATGTCAAGTAGAATGGTAATCATGTCTAATAAAGTATTTACCATTATAGAGTGCGATTACTTACGTGACTCCTTTCCTCAAAAAACTAGAGTTGCTGGGAGCTTAAAACTTTGTATCTAGCACAAGGCCTGGCACAAGGTAGAGTTTTCCTCTGTTCTTTTGAGTTGTGGTCATTGCTAGGTTTTTATCTGTGTTTGCTGTGAAATGACTAGCACCTTTTATTACTGCTAACCCAGAGACTTGGAAGAGGCCTTGGAGATGGGTGTGGATTGGTCCCTGAGAGAAGGCTATGCCTGGGCTGAAGACAAGGAGCACTGTGAGGAGTATGGAAGGATGCTGCAAGCTGACCCAAACAAGGTCTCTGCGAGGGCTAAAAAAAGAGGCCTTCCTCAGGTAACTCTCACTTTGGAGGGACAAATTTTAATTTTTTTTTCAAACTTTGTTTTTATTGGGGGGAAGAAAAAACTCTTTTTTTTTATCTAGCAAATATATTCCCAAGTTTTATCATGGTATGTCAGAAACCACAAATCTGTTTATACTTCATCCTTATTCTAAAAAGCTATCAGGAGCTTTTGCAAATGTTCATTAAACAAGATATCATGAATTAGAAGTGGATGAGAAGTGGATGACAGAAAAATATATGATTATAAGACTTACAACATACATCAAAATTATATGTGTACATACTAAAACAATCTATAGATTTGGTCAAATGTTTTCTGACATACCTTGTCAATTCATGGAGATACCAATTCATGGTGTCCGTGAGCTAAGAATATTCTAGATGTTTGAAATTTACAGCTAATTGTGGCTTTGTCACTAACTCACTGTCACCTTGGACAAGACCTTTGGCCTCTCTGGGTCTCATTTTCTCATCAAAAATTGGGATAGTTAAAACTAAGCAACATCTAAAGACTTCTAGCACTGCCATTCTCTGGTTCTCTGAATCATCTATTAGCTCCAGTTATGGAATATATTTCAATTATAGATAATGGTGGGTGACCATGAATTCATAGATGTTTCAAAAGTCTTTTGAACTTATCTAAGAGTCAGTGTTCACCAGCACTTACCCAAAAGTTTGACCCTTCTCTTCATGATGTTTTAAATGTCCCGTGACATTTTAATGTCCGGTTTTTTGAGGTTTTTTTTTTTTGGTTTACGAAAGCTTTTTATATGTGTACCTTGCATATATATAATGACAATAAAATTCAGGACCTAGCCTACATTATTTTTGTTATACAGAATATTGTTTTAAATAAATAAAACATTCAGGAACTAGCCTACATTATTTTTGTTGTATAAAATACTGTTTTAAAGAAATAAAATATTTTTAAAGCTTAGGAATATTTTGTTACATAAAACACTATTTGGTTATTTTGTTGTTACTGGTTTGTTTTTTATGTTATTTTCTTTTTAGACAGATTTTTTAAAAACTGGAATAGAAGATATTTTATCAAACATTCTTACATTTGCAGTTGGGGACTCTGGGAGCAGGCAACCACTATGCAGAAATCCAGGTTGTGGACGAGATTTTCAATGAGTATGCAGCCAAGAAAATGGGCATTGACCATAAAGGACAAGTCTGTGTGATGATCCACAGTGGAAGCAGAGGCTTGGGCCACCAAGTTGCCACAGGTATATTCTATACTTGCTGCTAAAATTTACATCTTATGACAAGCCAAATTGAGGTTTAAGAGAGAAATATTAGCCAGACTTGGAGGCTCAGCCTGTAATCCCAGCACTTCGGGAGGCTGAGGCGAGTAGATTGCCTGAGTCCACGGGTTTGAAACCAGCCTGAGCAACTTAGCAAGACTTCATCTCTACAGTAAATTTTTAAAAAGCTGGGCATGGTGGCATACACCTGTAGTTGCAGTTACTTGAAAGGCTGAGACAGAAGGATCACCTGAGCCCAGCTATGAGCATGCCACTGCACTCTAGTCTGGCAACAGAATGAGACTCCAACTCAAAAAAAAAAAAATTCCAGGGGTTTTTTTGGGTTCCCCTTCGTATGTAAAGCACCTAAATCATTGCTTGACAGTAGTAAGCACTCAATAAATATTAGCTCCTGTTATTTATATTTACCCTTGTGGGTTACTAGTACTACCTGGGCAAGAAAGAGCAAGAAAATAGTTAAGCATTCAAAAAATATGTCTTAGATACCTACTCTCCAAGATTAGGTGTTATGGCAAATTCAGTGATGAAATAGGCAGATAGATACTTTGCCTTCAAATTGTTCATAAAGGAGAGATCATGTTCATTATTTTTTTTTTTTTTTTCTGAGTTGGAGTCTCACTCTGTCGCCCAGACTGGAGCGCAGTGGCCACTCCCTGGCTACTCCCAGCCACCGCAACCTCGACCTGCTGGGCTCCGGCGATCCTTCCGCCTCAGCCTTCCAAGTAGCTGGAATTACAG